AGAGAGAGAGAGACAGAGAGACAGAGGGAGAGCGTGAAGGAGAGCGAGAAAGCTGAGGAAGAAGGGACACTAAAGAAGGGATATTGGGGAGAGGAGCTCTATGCTCTGCCGGCCAAATATAAAGGCTTGTAAAGGCTACCAGTCAACATGCATGACCTATTTACGGTCAGGCACACTGCCACACAAATACACACCAAACCACAATGATGTTATTTTCCCTGCAGTTATTTGGGAAGAGTGTGTGGTGTTTATAATCAGACTAACCTGACTGTATAAAGCAGGTGAAACAACCGGTGTCTGAAACATCTGGCTGTGGTCATCAGTGTCTTGCCTGTGCAGTGGCTGAGAAAGAATGTTGCTCCAAAACATCTGCTCATTAGGTCAGCCATCAAATATTAGTTATTTTTAGCTTCTGGGTTGTTTCTCCTTCCATTCTTCTTTTTTTTGCCTCCTTGGACAGCTGGCCTGTGACTCTATCTTCCTCGCCAGCTACAACTGTGGGATTTGCCCCTGTTGTTACCATAACATCTGGAAGATGATATTTTGCAGGTTGTATGGCAGCTTTAGGGACTCCTGTTGTGATTTCCATGCATGTCCACTGTCCAGGTGCAGGATAAGATGTAAGACTGAGCTTTTAAACTTTGAGGGACAGGCTGCTAATCTAAAAGAAAGCAACTAAAGCAACAACATATAAAAATGTTCTTTTCAGTATGTGGCCTGGGAGTCAGAGTCAAGGTGTGTATTTATCACCTGCTCAAGAAATGATGCGCGGAGCACTGGGCCCATGTGCCTGATAGAGAGTGTGTGTGTTAAGGAATCCAAGTCTGTCCTTGAGTCAAGCAGTAAGGACCTTGTCTGCCTTGACGATGTAAGCTCAGTGATTCATACTGTGACTCTGCCACTGACCCGTAGGATGACTCTCATGGGGGTGCGGAGACAGGCTGCATCCATCACAATGCCAAAGAGCTGGGCAAGATGTACACTAACACACACATGGAGACACTGGATACACTGAGTGAAGAGTTTATAGTCGTGCAGTGGGCTATGTATGGGAACAGCTGTGTGTAGAGCTGAATGTCTGCCCAGCAACCATGCCCATGCAGGCCCACAGTGGGTAGCTGTTAGGCTGTGTGGGCAACCTGCATCTATTCCACATGGGACCAAAATGGGCTCACAGCAGTTTTGCCCTATGGGGTCCTCTGTGTTTTTTTGTGTGCAAACCCTGTCCAAACCCAAACTCTATATTCATATTTTTGCCCTTTCTGCTCTCAAGAGGGAATTCTGTGGGTAGCCCACTATAGGCTGTCTATAGAAAACACATATAAGGCCTATATAGGATATCCCATGCGGGGTCTGTATGTTAGGAAACACAAGACAGGGAAATGTGACAATTGTGGAGAAATAGTGTCAGAATTTTGAGGCTGAGATAAGACAGCTGATTAAAAACATCAGTAAATTCTGGTATCAGAGAGTATTCTAATTTCTTAAACATACTAACATGTTATGCAGAGGATTTGAGTGGAGGGCTAGTTGGTTGGTTGGTTTTTAGTGAGATGATCTATAGTGTAGTAGTTTACATACTTGCCTAATAAGCAATAAATCCCATGGGAGAAAGCACAAATCTGCAGGGGGCGGCATCTAAAGGGCATCGGGTGTGAAACTCTGCTAAATGAAGCATGCAGATGTACCTGTTGTGGTGACCCCATTTTTTTTTAATGAGCAGCTGATAGTTGTTTTCTTTTCTGTTTTAAAATACATTCTGGTCCACACTCCACACCAGTTGGTATTGCTAATATACCATGGTATTAGCTCTCCACTGTGGGGTCTAGGTGGGGCCCCAGTAGGGCAGTTGTGGGTACGCTGCCTATAATATGCCCCATTGTGGGCCTCTCTTTGCTTAGTGTGGGGAACCCACACTGTTGGTTATCCCACTGGGACCTGTCTGGGTCCCATAGTGCAGAGCCCAGATGTGACCTATATTTCACGTTGGTACTGGGGCTCGTGTGTCTGCCCACAGTAGCCCCACACAGGCTCCCAGGGCACATCTTCGCTAGATGTGTCAGAATTTTAACTCAAAAGGTTTTTTTTACAGGCAAATGTTCAACATCTTAACAATAACGTGCCAAAATCTTAACATTTTTCAAATGAGCGTTAAATCACAAGTACTGAACTATGTTCTGTGTAACGTTTTATAAACCTTTTATAGAACATCCTCGGGGGACCATGAATGCCAATTTACGTTTTCAAGATATTTTGATTTTAAAAAAAGGAAACGAAGAATTACCTGCAAAAGTTGAATGTTGTCTTTCATCCTGACAGCAGTCAGACTGTATAATCCACACATACAATAGATACCTGCAAAAATGTACCTGTGTGTATTATCACTCCCACTACACCTTTTCCAAATATGAAAAATTCTCTGTGGGTGTATTTACTCTATATAGAGACAATTTGTGAATGGTAGAAATAACTCTTGTATAGCTTTTTGCCTTTTTATTATTTGTGCACTTTGTCCGTCTGTGTTGAGCTAACATGTGCTTCCTGTGTTTGTGTGGGTTCCCTCTGAGTCCACAGAGTCCAAAGACATGCAATTAGTGGGGTCAGATTGACTGGTAATTCTAAATTGCTCATAGGTGTGAATCTCAGTATGAATGTTTGTCAGTCTCTCTGTGTTAGCCCTGTAACAGACTGGCAACCTGTCCAGGGTGTACCCCACCTCTCGCCCTATGCTAGCTAGGATAAGCTCCAACACCCCAGCTGAAAGAATGGATGGATTTCTATTTTTTTATTTCTTGCTGACACTTGTGCTGCTGTAACAGTGTGGGATTAATAAAGTCTCTGTCCCTGCCCACCAGCCTCTAGGCCTGTGTGATTAAGGGTTAAAGATGTAAATTCTTTGACTTGCAGCAAAATAGTGACCAAAAGCACTACTTTTTAACTTCGCGGTAATTTGTGTCACTAGAGAAAAATCATTTCATGTTATTCGGATGATAGTTGATGGGATGCAATCTAAATCTTTAGCAGGGTAAAAGGTGCAAGAAGGAGAAAAATCATCAGTGTTTCCACAACAGTCACCATGAAGACACGAGGACACAGAACCTGATGTGTGATTTAATCTCATTATTTCAGGACTTTGATAGAATTTTGCTAGTTTTTCTGATCTCTCTGTTTTTCTCCTGGGCACTATTCCACCGAGTTTGCCGCTCTGTTGTTGTGGTCATGGTGAGTTGCTGATGGTTGACAGTGCGAGGCAGAGTTGCTGCTGAGAAGTGGGTCAGTCTGTTTCTGCACAGCAGCTTCTCTGTGTTTTGAGTTTTGTCTCCCAGCGAAAGGAGAGATTGTGCCAGATTTCTACCAGATTGTTCAGATATGGGATCTGTAAACACAGTGTTTTCCAGGCCTGTCAAAAATTGAAGGACTTATCCACCTTGAGGCTTAGTAGATGAGACAGAATCTCTGGAGGACTCTTCTTTCCTACAGCTTGCGTTTGTGTGATTGTGTGTGAAAATACGAGTATGTGCATAGAGTGCATAGAATTTGTCAGCTGTCATTTATATTTAGCTTAAATCCCATTTCATCCCGTTTGATCCCATTGATGCCAATGCATCGAAACAGTCGGATATAATTAGGCGTTTTTAGAGGCTGTTTTCCTGTAAAAAATATGAAGCAACGGCCTCATCGACAAAAAGAGAGAGCCTAGCAACTTTTGGCTCTTTTAACTGTGTGGCTGGCCCTCTGAAAACTGCCCATTACGCACAAACCAACCCATATATTATTAATCTGCTCAGCTCTGCCTTCCTCCTCTGCCAGCATCAGAGTGCATTTTAACATGAAACAGCATCAGAGTGCATTTTAACATGATACTCCCTGGTGGTGATGATATATTCTCTCTCATATCCATTGAATCTGAAAAATAAACAAACAGTTTAACATTTGGGGGTTTCTGGTCAGTAGTTGTTGTTTGAGAGAAGAAAAAAAACTTTCTTCTAGCCAAACTTTCTTTTTAAATGGCATCTTCCTCAAGTATGAAACTTCTGCTAGCTGGATGGACAGAGCCGTGTTCCAGATCCAATGCCAGGTGCTCTTTGACTGTCTTCATGTTGAAAACAGTGTGTGGGAGAGATGACCGGCTGCCTGAAGGAATGCTAAAGCACAAATGATTCATCTCTTTTTCCCTCAAAGCATTTTTAATTCATACCCAGCAAAATGTCAAACTTGCATCCAAGCGTACCTGTTTGAATGCATGCAATGGCTCAAACACCTATTCCTCGTCACAGCGTGCATAGTTTCCACACACACACTGCGATTATTAAGGAGCTCCATCTTTGTTTATGCACCGTGATTATAATAAATTCATTGTGTTTGTCAAAATGGAGCAGACATCCTCGTTGCTGGAAGGAAAACGGAGGAGATGCAAGATGCATGAATTCAGCTGAAACAAGAAGCTCCCTCTCATGGCTCCAAGCGTCCCGGTTCTCCAGCTGAAACCACAGATAAATTAGTGAAAAGACAAATCTTCTAAACTATCTTAAAGCGCTCCTTGTTCCTGTGACGGGATCTCATCTGCGATGTTTAAGTGCTGTGTCACGAAATGCCCCAAATCTCCGCAGTAAATTCTCAACTCCTTTACTTAAACTGCCGGAGACATTGATAATTTACAACATTGTGGATTTAGGCCTGTTTTAATGAGGTTGGGAGCTGATAGGTTATATTATAGGCTCCATCTTCTTACATCCTCTTTCCCTTCTTCATCACATATTTATTCCGTCCTTGTTTTCTATTTCTCCCTTCACTTCTTTTCTGTAACTCCTGTTTTTCCCTTTGTCTCGTCTTGCAGGTGTCTGGCGCACTCACCCTGCCTGTAACAGGCGAGGAGTCAGAGGACCAGGGCCATGACTGGCTCTCCTGGCCATGGTGGGCGTGCCTTAGTGCCATGGCCGAAGCTGTGGCGATGGGTCCTGGCGACTTCACTGGTTACCATGATAACCTTGACACTGCCAGGAAACAGCCACGCCTGTCCGCCACGGTGCGAGTGTTCAGCCCAGCTAAGGTCAGTGTCGTGCCAGCGACGGCGGCTCACCAACATCCCAGAGGGCATTCCTACAGAGACGCGGCTCCTGGACCTCAGCAAGAACCGGCTCCGCTGGGTGCAGGCGGGAGACCTGGCACCGTACCCACGACTGGAGGAAGTGGACTTCAGCGAGAACCTCATCTCCACCTTAGAACCGAATGCCTTCTCCACCCTCCAGAGTCTTAAAGTGCTGAAGTTAAGGGGGAACCAGTTGAAGTTGGTGCCCATGGGAGCCTTTGCCAAGCTTGGCAATCTTACCAGCCTAGACCTTAGTGAGAACAAGATGGTGATTTTATTGGACTACACCTTCCAGGACCTGAAAAGTCTAAAACACTTGGAGGTCGGAGACAACGACCTGGTTTATATATCCCACAAGGTAAGCTCTTAAGCATCTGGCCAGTAGTGAACTGAGCTTATTGATGAAATGGGAAATGGATACAATAATTTGCACTTTATTTTAAAAACTCCTGGTGTGACATTTTGGCAAAGTCTATTCGTTTTCCTGCCAAGATAAAAACACTGATACCAGTTACACAGCATCCATGTAATACATTTCCAGCTTCCCCATAAATAAGTAAAAAAGCACTCAGCTCAGTGTTTGGTTTGTTGCTTAGACTACATTTAGAAGAAACCAAACACATCTGAATATTTTTTTCTGTGTCAAAAAATAAAATGATAAATTTAAATATTGTTTTACTGTTATACTGTAATACTTACAAACTGCTTAACAGCAGCACACATTCAAATAGAGTGTGTAAAAAATGATTCTGTTACTTTTATTTGAATTTATTGTTTCTAATTACGTAATAAGAGATTAAGGCACTATTAAAACACAAAGACCTCAGAGAAAACCAGAAAAATGTCTCAGCACTTTTAAAACTCGTCATACTCAGAGCTGGTTGCTATGGCCACAAATCTGATATTTTCCTTTGAGAATGATTATGAAATATTAAAAATTAAACGAGTCCTTTTCTTGACATGTACCTCACATACAGTAGCAACAACAAAACGGTGTTCTGGTGAAATGCTGAACCAACTTTTGTCTGTTTGTCTTACTTAAACATAAATAAATAAATATATATGTATATGTATAAGCAAACAGTGATTCCCAGATTCCCATGATGTTTTTCTTATTTCCAGGCATTCTCAGGTCTGCTGGGGTTGGAGGACCTCACAATAGAGCGCTGCAACATGACATCCATCTCTGGTCAGACGCTGTCCTACCTCCGCAGCCTGGTCACTCTTCGCCTTCGCCACCTCAGCATCACTGCCCTGGAGGACCAGAACTTTCGCAAGCTGTCAAACTTGCGGGGTTTGGATATCGACCACTGGCCGTACCTGGAGTACATTTCCCCTCTTAGTTTTCAGGGCCTGGACCTCCACTGGCTCTCCATCACCAACACCAACATCACTTCTGTCCCCTCGGCCTCCTTTAAGAACCTTGCCCACCTCACCCACCTTAACCTGTCCTACAACCCCATCACCACATTAGAGCCTTGGGCCTTCAAAGACTTGCTGAGGCTGAAGGAGCTCATCATGGTAAGCACAGGTTTGATGACGGTGGAGCCCCATGCCCTCGGAGGCCTCCGACAGATCCGCGTGCTCAACTTCTCCTCAAACGACCTGCAGACACTGGAAGAGGGCTCCTTCCATTCTGTCAACAGTCTGGAGACCCTCAGAGTGGACGGGAACCCCCTGATGTGTGACTGCCGTCTGTTGTGGATCCTGCAAAGACGCAAGACCCTCAACTTTGACGGCAGAGTGCCGGTGTGTGCGGGGCCGGTGGAGGTGCAAGGCGTCAGCCTCAGCTCCTTCACCGACTCTGCACTCTTCGATCACTTCACATGCCAGAAGCCTAAGATACGCAACCGAAAACTGCAACAGGTAATGAATGGTGACGAGTTTGTTAAACTTTCTACAACCATAAACAAGGTTGTTTTAAGATTTTAAAATATTCCTACATATAGATATCTGCTGTGTTTTTTTAAACTGTTCATTTATTCATCCACTCACTCTTTTTCTCCAGATGATTGCTCGTGAAGGCCAACCGGTGAGTTTTCTGTGTCGAGCCGAAGGAGACCCTCCCCCTTCTATTGTCTGGATTTCCCCACAGCGCAGGCGGATCACAACTAAGAGTTCAGGGCGCATTATAGTTCACCCAAGTGGCACCCTGGAGATCCGCTACGCCCAGCTCACTGACAGTGGGACATACATCTGCATAGCCAGTAACGCCGGAGGCAATGACACCTACTTTGCCACACTCACGGTGCGTGGCCAACCGCTGGATGCCGCCTCAGCCTTCTTTCTCAACCGCTCACTGTACAGCAGCGAGTTCTTCAACGACACAAATCTAAACAGCACACGCGTTTTCCTCAAGTTCACCTTTGACCTGACCACCATCTTGGTCTCCACGGCAATGGGCTGCATCACGTTCCTCGGGGTTGTCCTCTTCTGTTTCCTGCTGTTGTTCGTGTGGAGCCGGGGACGCGGACAACGCAGGAACAACTTCACAGTGGAGTACTCCTTCCGGAAATCTGAACCCGCCACTGGAAGCTCTTCAGGAGGGACCAGGAAGTTTAACATGAAAATGATATGAAACAACGCAGCCAGGGGTCCCTCGGGGGAGGCATGAGCACGTCCCATAAACGTGTTTGACACACGCAAACGCACACAGCCTCTGACTCGCAAAGAAGCTTGACAGCACAAGTCCCTGTCCGTGGCTCCACTCATTCGAGCGCCCACATCAAAACCGGAGCCACTTCTCAATTTGGTCTGATTTGTGAACCTGATCTCTCAGCAGTTTTATTCAGCTTGTGGTCAAAATTTGCTTAAATTATACCTTAAGGAGTGCTAGCTACTTGTCATTTATGCTTAATAGGCACAGAAGAAAGAACATATAGGTGATAAGATGTAAATTGGCACGATCACTGGCCTGTGGAACAGTGATAGTCCTGTTTCTCATTTATTTTAATGAGAAATGATAAGGTTTCCTTTTTAATTTCAATTTCTCTCTTTTTTTGTAGAGTCAGGGATTTGAAAAGAAATTCAGTACAGAGAGCTTCTGTCCATTAATTACTCTCTCTAAAGCCTGCCGTTCTGCTAATCATGCATGTAGCTTTAAGCTGTAAGTTTGTACCACTCATAAAAACACATAGCTTTGAAAGACAGTTAAATAGGTTTTTCTATTTATTCTGACCACCGCTGAGGAGTAAGGATTACAAAGAGCAAAATGTTTTATGAATATTATCATATGGCCTTTGCTTTTATGCACACAGGCTGAAAAATAATAAGATTTGCATAAAGCAAGAAAAGAAATCTGGCTTTTTCTTCTTTGTGAGCTTTGTGAGGTTTTACAACATTAGCTGTGTGAGTTTGGGACGAGCGCACCGGCTGAGAGTTGCTGTAGCCGCCTGTGGCCCGGTGGGTTTGGTTTGGAAGTCGTGCCCACCGGTCACAGGCCACCACTGTAACCATGCCAACCAACACAGGAGGGACCGGGATGGTGGCCACAAGAGGGTTGCTGGGTAGAAGAGGCAGGCGACTTCTGCTCTCTCTGCCCTGCATCCCGTTCGTGCTCTTCTTCAACACGAGAGGGTCAACCTGCCTCCTGCCCCTCGTCCCTGCTGTGTTGGTGGACACCCAACCCTACCAGCGCTGCCAGGGGGGAGCAGCCTGGCGAGTTGGTTCATACTTAGAGGCAGACAGAGGACACACGGTCCCACTAGGAGGTGTTCACATTAACACACATAAACACCCTCATCCTACGAGTGGAAGGCGGCACACGTACAGCCCCTTTTCTCAGGAAAAGTGAAATAACTAGCCTACAGAGTGAGAATGGTTATGCATATTTACTCTGATAAACTGTAAAACATTCCAGCAATACTTTATGTGGAGCCATAAAGCTAAAAGTCCATTCTCTGAGAGAGAAGTGATGTGAATTCGTGAGTGTATAAGCCAAGCCATAGTTGTGTAGGTTGTATTTTTATACAGTAGTGTGTGCATGATTCAGTTATATAATTATTGCCACTGCCATCCTACAAGCTGTCGCAATGATCACAAGACCATCTGCTGTCACCGGGCTTGCATAAAATTTCACCTCATAACACACACACACACACGCACGTGCTCAGAGGAGATAGAACCACATTGAGGTGATTTTTTCTGATAGGAACAACACACGACACACGGACCAATGAACGTGCGGCACTCGCTGCTCTCTGTCTGTCTCTCAGAGGGCCGGTGTGCGAATGTCTCTGCCCCCCTAGCCCAGTGCTTCCCCCCCTCCTCACCCACATCCCCCACACACCCCCACTGGGTCCTCCTTTGGGAGGGGTCCCTGGCTGGAGACCGAGGATTAAAAATGTAAATGAAGTCGTGTAACCCTACCCACGCCATGTGCATCGTATAGTGGAGAGTAGTACTGTGGTTTTAAAAATGGAAAAAAAAAACAAAAAAAAAAAAAAAAATCGTTTTTAAGTGTTCTGTTTGTCCTTCAATTTATTTTCTTTTTCTTTTTTTCAGTTGTTGTTCTCTGTGACCTTTTGGCTGTTTACCGTTTTAATGTTCTTCGTCCTCCATGTGGGATTGTCCTCTTCTCAACACCTCATGCAGTAGCACCCTTTCAGATCTCAAGGTGCACGTAAGCCTAGAGCAGGCAGAGCGTTAAGTTCATTCACAGCTGAGATTTGATCTAAAGCTCTTCTGTGGAGAAGAAAAAAATGTTTGCAAGTTAACAGATGAAACTGATAGTTGCTAGTTACTAAAAGCTGTGAAATTAAAACTTTACACACTAATGTAAATCATGGATTTACCATAGACTGTAAAACACAGCCTGATTCACTCATCCTGATGACAGCTTTGGCTTATTGAATACTCAAATTTGACATTTTAGCTGCTGCCATGTTTTTTTAATGGACATGTCCATACATCACACTGTAATAATAAATGTGATGTTAACTTTAATTACATGAAAAACTGAGCAGCTCACACACTGCAGTGTCTTTTAATACAACCAAATCCTGAATGAGAACAAATTAGAGGTGCGCCGATCGATCAGCTGGGGACAGGAATCAGCGGATTTTCAGCAGTGACCGGCCAATGAGCCTCATGTGTGTGCGTTTCAGTATGCACAACACGTGCACAGCAGCATAGGCAAATAAGCAAAGCTCGCCAAAGTTAAACGCGGGGGAGGAACACCCCAAAAACTTTTGTAATGACAGACCTAACCAGATACTTAAATCACCAAGCTGAACGTTAATATTTTAAAGAAACTAACAATGGAAAAGTGGATGTAGCTAAAGCTATCCAGAGCTCAGAGAGCCTCGGTATGAGCAATGGACTGAAGCCACAAAAAAAGGGGGGGAGGAAGAGAAAGGGGCTGGCGTCCTGTTATCTGGAGAAATCCTGTTAATAGTTATATACATATAATAATAATAATAATAATGATTAAAAATAATAATAATAAAATAACTAAAAAGATCAAAACATTTTTTTTCCTGTGGTGAGGTAAGTATGTCTATTTACATATAGCTATCACTGCTAATGTTCCTTGGCATACCTTACAGGTATGGCCTCTGAACTCAAGAGAACCTTAAAGTAATGGAAAATATGTTAAAGCTAAATGTTGTTTCATAGAATTTAAAAAGAAAACAAATAAATAAAACCATGGTAGACTATAGATAAGCGGAAGAGGATGGATGAACGGATATAGCAATAACAAAAGGCCAAAAGATTACTTAGATTAGAAAAATAGCTGCTATTTACACATGTCAGGGGTTGCAGAGGCTCTAACGGTGCTTTATATAGCAACTTAATGGTTTGAAAATCATTTCCCCCAGGTAAGAGACACCCTCAGACTCCTTTGCGAGTTAAATCTTGCAAACTCCATTTTTGTCGCTTGTAACGAATGATGAAACCACAGCCTCTCTGTCAGAATGAATAACTGAACAGCTCTTAAAGATTCATGAGGCCGAACAAGAATAGATGAACAAATTAGCCTGTTTTTTTTTTTTTTAACAGTGTCTTTGACAGGGTCTGCAGCCATTTTGGCTCTGGTGGTGTTGAGAACAGGATGTTGCCTTCGTGGATATCTCTTCTCCCTCAGCCCTTCCTTCTGTGTTTCCATCCCCCGGTACTTCTCAGTGCAAACTTAGGTTTAGATGACAGTGAGAATGTGCGTAGCGATTGTGGATGGTGTTATTGTGTAAACATCGATTTCAAATTGTAAGCGTAGATGACGGTGTGTTTTCATTTTTTGACCTTCTTCTCCTTCTTCCCTCTTTACCGTCCTCGTGGCCCCCTCTCCTGTCCCCCGTCTTCTTTCTTCATCTCCTCGTTGTCCCTGTTCACAGTATTAGGCTGGAATATGGTTGTGCGGTAGTAGACACGTGTTCACTGTGACTGGTGAGTAAGTGTTGTTGTCTTATGATGTGTTGCTCCTCGTGATACCATCAAACACGGAGCAGTGATTAGATCATTGGAGACAAAAGATGAAAGGAAGGGGTGACCCAGGTTCCCTAAAAATCAAAACAAACAAACAAAAAAAAAAAACACTGGTTCCCATTTTTCACACACCCATTCCTTAAAATAAAAAATGTCTGGAACTTTTCCCTCTCTGCACAGTGCCACTCTGGGATCTTTCTCTGCGTGTGAAACTCTGTGAACTGTACTGTACGTACTTTCTCTTGATGATATCTTGACACAATTTAACTTGCAAATGCAGAAAAGAGGTTGGGTTGTTGCAGAGCCGTGACTAAACGCCTATGCGCTCGCTTTCTGCCTACTGAGGTACACTGAGTCATCTTGACAAGGAGGTAGTCCATTCATTAAAAACCTGACACCTCCAGCTGATCGGGGTTGGAACGAAGCACTTGTGTCTATTCAAGCTCCAAAAGCTTGCTTCAAGCTAGATGCTGTTTAAAAAAAATGTCCTGCAGCTAAAATTTCCTAGCAGAGGTTTGCTTTCAATGGTTTTATTGGTATGCTAAACTGATTAAAAAAAAGACACTTCTCCAAAAAAAAAAATCCTCAGCAGCTCTTCTCAAAAAGGCTGCGGCACACAACACAGCTTTGCAGCCGAGCCGCTGCCTGCCTGACTCTGACTGACAGACTCTCTGTGTTTGTAGATACCAGTGGAGGCGAGCTTGATTCATCTCCTCTGCCACGATTCTTGAGAAAGTAGGCTGAGATATCCCCCGCTCCCTCCGCTGGTTTGTCCTTGCCTGCGGTTGGTACACCGTAGTCTAGACGTCCCATTTACAGCAGGAGCAGAAGCAACCTCACCGTTAGCGTACCTTCCACTGAGGAAACTCTTCAAAGACCCACAACAAAACAAGAAGAAAAAAACCCTTTGGACACACACCACAGTCGTGGCGTCAAGCCTGAATTATTCATTTTTGGGTTTTTTGGTGTGTGTCCCATTGTTTCCATTCCATTAGCACACTGAGGGAGGCTTTCCTTTAAACGCTTTAAGCTGTTTTCTTACAATTTTGGCCACAACAACATCAAAAGAACCATATTAGTCGTATCTTCAGGACTACATTTCTACATTTTTGTCTCCTGTCATTTCTGATTCCATGTTAGCTCTAAATAAATCCATCTCTTGCTCCGCGTCCTACAGCTGCTGGTTTTGATTGGATTAGACTTGAGATTTATCAGAGCTGAGACGAGCAGTAATAGGATGACAGAGGAGCGAGCCTGGCTTGATTGGGTGATTACTTGGCTTATTAGTCCCATTTCCATAACAGGCTTCTCAGACAGAGTGTCATGCAAATAGACTTTTAGCTGTTTAACAGCATCAGTGTCAGACAGAGATATGACCTGTGATGAGTTTCTCAGGCAAAGAGGCGGTGATGCAAACTGTCGCTGTCGCCTGATATAAGTGAGCGTTCTGCAGAGCTTTGCTGAAACACTTTAGAGCACCTCAGACAGACAAATGCTTCATCTTAACCTTGACCAGACCCCCACCCACCCCCCAACAGACACACACACACAAACAAAATCACCTCCATTTCCTTCTGTGTGACAATGCTGACCCCCAGTGGTCACTGTGAGTATAAGAAACAAATCCTGAAGACTGTTGTACCAAAGCAACAGCTCGGGGCCTCAAGCAGGTAAGCGAGAAAATTGACTGTTAGCTTCATAAGTCAGTGCTTCACTGATTTCCTTATAGCCATAGCGTGACCCCTTCTTGGCACTGGGTGTGTTTCTGCCTGCAGTGGGAGCAGGAGAGGCCTCCATCTCATCAAAAAGCAAACTCCTCTAAGTCTGGAGATTACACACTTAAACCCCCACCACCAGTCTCACCAAACCCTCCCCCCAGAAAACTTCACAGCATTATTCTTTCTCTGTATATGATTAAGTGCTGCTCAGCAAATGATCGGCTACTCTCTAGAGAAGAAAAAAAAAACAAGTTTCTTTCTTGTGGTCTTAGCAGATTAAATCTATGCATGCCTTTTGTATACAGTGATTGGTCTTGCCAAACTCTCACCTACACTTGTACAGATAGCCATGGGTGCCATCGTTGCTGGCCATGGGACTGGCTGAAACGACTAACGTGTGTTTTAATCTGGTACAAGTTAAAGCCAGGGGGCAAAGAGTCACCGGCATTCACGAATATATATATAAAGAAGCATTTGTTTACTTGGGATGATTGTACTTTTACACATATCTATCTTCAAACAGATGATCTGCTCTGATGTGTAAGCTGTTGATAAAGCTATTGATATTCCAAGCAGGATGGTGGGACTGATCAATCATGCTGTGTGGGGACAGGATTGTTAATGGCATACTTTCATTGATCTATCTTGAATCTTGTCACTCTCTCAAAGTCTCTCTGGAGTAGGAGGAGGCATACAGAGCTCTCATAGACCTGGTTGGCACTCATTCCTAGGTTTCTACACCTCTTTTTTGTTGTTGTAATGATTTCCTCTTAAAACGAGATGGTGCCAGCTTTTATGCTTTTTTTTTTCCAGGTCTGGGATAATAAAACGCTCTGTTGCCTCTCCCACTCTTTAGAGGAAGCTTTCATTTGGTATAGCTCTGCATTTCTTGGTGCGCTCTGATTCAATACAAACAGGTAAAAGTAATACTGATACTTAAGGTATCTATCTATCTATCTATCTATCTGTCTGTCTGTCTGTCTGTCTGTCTGTCTATCTGTCTATCTATCTATCTATCAATCAGCCTGGCACTGACCTCGTTGAGTATCTCAGATACATCCATCACTCTTTGATATTTGTTCCTCTTTCGCGTGATTGTCGCTGACCACTGAAACCTAGGAATGGGTGCCAAGAGCGCCAACTAAATGCAGAGCCAACGTAAAAACAGCAGCTTATCAGGTCAAATGGCGTTAAAACGATCAATCATTAATATCAAAGAGACTGTTATACAATCAATACCAAACCTGGACTCTAATCCTCTCCGGCTTCTTGAGCGTTTGAGTGTACGTGAATATTTCTAGCATGTAAATTTTGTGCCATAGCAAGTGGATCCTTGGAGAAGAAGAACAGGAACTGTACATATTAGATCTATTAGCCATATCATGTCATCCAATCTGTAGACCTCCTTGCCATGTCTGACAGAGGAAAATGACTGTTGAACTGTAAATAGTGTAGGTATAGTAAAATAGGATTTATCGGCTGTTTCTTCTCTCCGGGGATCGCCCATGTTTTGCTCAGTCCCATGGCTGCTTGGTCTCAAAGGGAAGGATAAGACAATAATGTATTTGTCTATAGAACACATATGACTTCTTTTTTAATTTAAATGTATGTTTTATATACCGTCTGTCTTGTAAATGAGCTCCTTTTTCGTCATAAAAGCATGATGTGACTCGACTGAATCCTGTGTGCCTCCCTGTTTTGTGTGTGTCACATTAGAGTCTGAGGCTCGTCAGAGTGGTTCTATAGTGAGGGTTAGAATTCATATCAGCCAAAAAAGTGAAGAAAACAGTGTTATTTTTACTAAGCCAGCAAGTTATTTCCAAAACACACCCGAGTAGTGTTCAAAATCCTTTAACTGT